ATAAACAGCTCCTCTCCCAACCCCCCCCCCAACCCTAATCCTAACCTGTCAATAACTAAATGTGCTCTTGTGTTTTGTGCTTTTTTTTTGTCTCTTCTGGCTTTTTGTGTGGATTGATACTGTAGGTGGCCCAGCTAAACAGAAACAGAAGTCGGTGAGTGTGGTTTGTTCTCACTAACCTCTAACGTTTTAACTTCTCACTCCGTCTCCTCGTCCTCTCTTGTCTTACGTTTTCCCTCTCGTGGTAAATTGTGGTGGTAGCAAAATATTTAATAGCACCTTTCATGCTTCCTAGGACACGTTAAAATCCAAATACTCGCATGCTCATTTGTAAATCACGCCGACGGCTCTGTCATTTCCCAGGAGCTCGTATCACAGCTGTCAGTGTGCAGATGCAGGTGCAGATCCGTCCCAGACCCTGTTAGTCAGAGTGTAACAGTAACACATCCTGACATGCTTTCATTTCCATTTATGACGGCTGATTTGAGTGACAGTAGCCCACAAACAGCTGTTTTTATGCTTTTCAGCACAATTTGAATCATACGTTAAGGCTGTGTAGCAAAGACATGGACGGTAGTTATCAAAGCATTACATCAGTATTGCTGCTCTAATGTTCATCCCATTGAGACTAATGTTTTTCAGTATTTACCTGAAACAAAGTCCTAAAATGTTATAGGTATTTAATGTAAACAGGACCAATGTGGACTTCAATATCTTAACCTTAGCATTTTGTAACAATATGATTGTATAGAGAGATAGATTGTATAACATTGGATGCACAGAAAATGCTCCTAGCTTTATCTAAATACTAATTTGTCAACAATATTCATTTAAATCATACGTTAAAAAGTCAAACTCATGTTGATCCCTTTGAGTCAAGGTTTTTTTAATGTTTAACTGGAAGAAAATCCAATAATATTCAAATATAATCTAAGTTCTTATGTATCTTGGCTTTATTTAAAGAAATACAGTATCTGCCATTTACTGTAAACATGGCAAATGTTTACAATACAACACAATAGTAAAACATTAGTATTTTAAAAGAATATGATCGTATAGACGGACAATAAACCGTAATATTGAGCTATCATCCAAATCTATATTATGCACTCCATCCTCCCTGTTACTCACCACACTAAATTGTGCACTGCACTCATGTTATTCAAAACCAATGAGCGCTATTGTTATGTTCAGTGCACCAGCTCTGCCCCTTTAGAGACAAGAGCCATTTGGAAACTTTTAAAATATGTATTTTTAGCCTCTGTGAATACAAATGAGGTGAAATGAGCTTCCGTTGCTGTGCTTTATGTAATGTAATGTAGTGGAGCAGGGCACTCCAGCGCTATCTCCTGCTTGAAGAGCTGCGCAGCACACGCAGAGGAGGGAGTGTGCTTGGAATACAGATATAAAAAGAAAAAAACATCCAATTTCACTGTTGTTAGAGTATATAGGACATGTGACTGTTTTCACCCAATTCTGACTGAAAAAAAAAAGACTGTTTCTGAAGAGGACAAATGCTTGTAACATCCTTATGGATGACTCATTCATGATTCATAATGTACAAATAAGCCTAAAGTTCACGCGCTGCAATATGGATCGTGTTTGTGTGGGTGTTCTATATAAGTCTTTGTTTTATAGGTTTTTTGTGAAAATGGCTTAAGGAAAGCCACAGACTACAAACAAAAGCCTACAGTATGTACAGGGCTCTTTATATTCAGTTCCAGAAATGTGTTTGTGTTTAAAATGTATGAAAATAGGACAAAAAAAATCAAAAATTCTGGTGAAAATCATCTGATTTTAAAACACCAAATACTCATTTTTAGTGCAAATGGCTTAAATAAAGTTGTGAAAGATATTTATTTTATTATTTATATG